GAAGTACCCAAAAAAAGAGGGGCAAATTATTAAAATTGGCAAGAATTTGTTTAAAAAATGAGTTTTAAATTGAAATTGGATGTTTTTTATCAAAGATGTCATTTATGCAGTGAATTTTACTCACAAAAAGAACAATCTTTGTAGTGGCCACTGCCACTTAAGTGCACTAGCACCATAAATTTGTCCCACATGGCTCTTTTGAGCTGACATCTCACAAACATTTCACTCACAGACAGGGCCATGAAATGCTTGCAAAAATTTTTCCGCGCCATCTGGCAAAGCCTTGTGCTGCAAGCTAGGCAGAAGTGTGACAGGGCTTCAAAATCTAAACAAAGTCTAGGGCTGAGGGACACAACAGCACAGACGCCTTCGAGGCTCTTGTGCACGCGTTTGTGCATGTCGTCATGAATAACAACTATGTCACCCCTACCCCTTCCCTCATTGTGAGTTCCCTCGATCTCACAAAATTGGTGCAGATGGCATCCGTTGTGGAATCACCGACTTTCCAGCCAATGGCTGTGAATGACTTATGATGCATTGCCTTTCGCAAACCAAGAATTGCCTCAGATCAGACCGGCTGCTCATAGCGGATTCCTACAGAGCGCAGCACCCCGACAGCTTTCATGTTGACAGTGTAGCTATTGCCCGAGCTGTGACTTTTTTCAACCATAAAATGGAGATAAACACTCTAGAAAAGTGTTCAGCTGTGCTGCCCGACAAGACGCGGACCCTGCAACTAGGCTTCACAGCACACACAGGTGCGCAACGAGCAATGGCGGTGCCCGATTCGTACCATGTGATCTAAAAGCCAGTCGTGGCGCTAGAAAAACGTGGCAAAAGTGTGTTTTTTATTACTTCTTGCACTGCAGCAGCGTGGGAAATTATCGTCATTTGAAGAGTGAGGCTTGGCTCTTCACCTCATGTGATAGACAATGGCAAGCAGCGGCACATTGTCAGCGGCGAGGTGCTTTAAGTGAAGAAAGAAGAGGAGGACAAGATAAGGAATGGAAGAAATGTAAAAAGAGAAAACTGGGGAAAAAATAAGCAAGGAGTGCGTGTGTGCAGGCCGCATCGGATGAGCGCGCGCACTGGAGAAGGTTGGTGTGAACGACGAAGAAGACGGCGGCTGTTCGAGGCAAACTGGGTCCTGCCCCAGGACTGGAACGTGTCGAGCGCTGCCTCAGTCTTCACCTCGGCTAGCTGCTGTTTTCGTGGCCACGGTCGTCGAGTTGGCAGGTGGTGTAGCGAGCGGCCGGGACAGGTCAGCATCACGCCACTGACCTTCAACAAGCCCGGGCTTGCGGACACCTGTCTGCCACGTCAACGGCGCTTGTGCCAGAAGGACGTGGGATTTGCTTGAAGTACCTGCGGGCACCAGTCCAACACCGAGGAACAACGTCCATGTACTTCGCCTTTTGAATGGAGCGCCCTAAACCAGCAGAGATGCCGGTACCGACGAACACGGTGAGCGATGGTCAGATGTGAGTGCGATCGATAGTCACCATAGGCGGCCGATACTGCGCATGCATGCACTTCAGTCGGTATTTACAGATGTACAGACGTACGGAGTTGAAGACGCACGTGGGACAGCCGCGCTGGGACTTTACTACCGCGTTTTGGGGACACCTACTTATTTATATCCTGTGGGTACATATTTACGTCTGCTTTTGTTCCTTGTGTCATTAGGAGAAATGAGATGCCATTTTACGTCGCACCATGTCCCCGTTCATGCATTTATCCTGCTGTCCTCAAGGTCGGTAGACACGATATGTCGATGCCAGTGGTATGCGGAATTCTACAAGGATGCGAAGTGTCTGTGCTTCGAGACACGAGGTCAAATACCGTACTTGTAAGACAGCCCTTGGTGCTCGAGTCACAGTGCTCGAGTCACAGATATTTGGTACAGAGAAAACGGTTTGTTTGGCAGATGGAACAGTATGGCGGATGCCTATAGCACGAGTCATGCTTTTGACTCCGTTTTACTGTGAATGGATAGAAGCCGGACGCGTACAAAAGCCATTGTATGATCTGATCCTAGGCAATGGACCTTGGGTTAGAGGTGTGAACGATCTCGATCCCTCGTGGAGCATCACTAATACATAAATGTTGAATGGCACGAAACGTGAGGCGACTTGAACTATGGAGGACGACAAAAAAAAAAAAAAAAAGACCTGAACCCAGCCACACGAGGAGCTACAGCGTGATCTGAAAACCTGGCAAGGAACAAGAATAAGGACAAGGTTGATAAGAAGTACGTTACCGAACCAATATTGAATGTAACTGCCAAAGAAATGGGAGAAAAACAAGAAGCAGACAGCACTTTGCGATGTCCTTTCCAACTTCAAGGGAAGTGGATTTATTGTAAGAAGAGCATAACTATGCATAAATTTGAGAAGGTGGGAGAATCACTGTACCGAGTGATAAGGACCTGAGATGGAGGGAAGAAAAGACAGCTAGTAGTACCACCAGATCTCCAAAGGGCTGTACTGAAAGTGGTGCATGAGTCTATCATGGCTGGGCACAAAGGAATAAGGAAGACGACGGTCACTGAAGAATTCTTTTGGGTATGCATGCTAAGTGATATTAAAAAGTATGTCCGATCGTGTGAGATGTGTCAGAAAACACCACCTAAAAGGCTAGTGTCGAAGGTTCCGCTCGGTACTATGCCGGTTATTGAGCAACTGTTTGAAAGGATTGCAGTCGATCTGATAGGCCCGATTAAGGGGGCAGACTGGTCTTTGGGACCAAAAAGTGACAAAAAAATTCGTTTTTTAAAATTGACATATTCGGTATCTGCAAGTATTTTTCTATCTCTCTGCAAATTTTCACACACAAGGAAGTAGTAACATTTTTGTAATGACAATATAACTGTCCAGATTCTTGGTGCTGTTTACAAGCAGAACCTGCAAAATAATGGGGAACCGACCTTGAGGCTTCCTTGTAATTGGCCGGCACCTTTGCTAGAAGCTCTGCTACGAATTTATGAGCACCTTTATGAGGATTGCAAAACATGCATCCCATGACTGTTGCTTTTTGAAGAAGCTGTGTGCTTTTAGTTTTTTCTATTTTTCTCAAAAAAGTAAATTTACAACTGTTCAATTTTGAGGCCTCAATATCTCTGCAGATAGGGCAAGTACAGCAATATTTTTTTTGCAATGGAAACCTGTATGTGTGTAGAATGCAAGTATGGGAGCAGAATTTAGAGCTCAAGTCCTTTAATTAATTACTCATCAGAATTGTAACTCAATTCCAACTGCTTTTGAAAATGGATAGTTAATTTTGCTGTAAAATAATCAAGAAAGGCCTTAAAACAGAAAACTCTTCTATAGCTTCAATCTATAGTTATTAGTCTATGTTGGGTGTCTGAAATATCACTTCTAATTAAGCACTTTTTTTCTATGGCGGCCTTAAACAATAGGGTGTGAACCTAAGTTATCTCAGGAACAAGATTAGTTACAGAAAAACTAATAAATATTTCAAATCAGCAGAAAAAACTGCATAATCCTGTGCAGCTTGATCAAGATCACTGAAGAAATAAACAAAAATATGTCTAAGACCAGTCTGCCCCCTTAAGCCAGCATCCTATAAAGAAAACAGGTACATCGTCACAATGGTGGATACGGCAACTAGATATCTCGAAGCGGTTCCAATTTCAACGGTGGATATGGTAACTGTTCCGAGGCTCTCGTGGACATGTTTACGTGGTATGGAGTCCCGAGGGAGATATTGATGAAAAGAGGAACCCATTTTACCTCAAAATAGATGAATGAAATTTGCAGGCTGCTGTCGCTGCGACACCTCTTAACAACACCATACCACCCTATGTGTAATAGGATAGAACGAGCCTGGGCTCACAGAAACCTGTCTGCCACGCGAGTAGTGCACGAGGCAGAGGGACGTGGGACGTGCCTGGAGTACCTGCCAGCACCAGTCCAACACCGGGGAAATGGAGTGCCTCGTGCATGGAGTGCTCTTCTAGACCAGCGAGGACGCCGGTACCGACGGATGCTGTGAGCGAGACCGATAGTCACTGTAGGCGGCCGACACTGCACATGCAGTTCAGTCGGTAGTTACAGAAAGGAACGGATTAGACGCACATGGGAGAGCCATGCTAGGACTTACTACCGCGCTTTGGGGACACCTAGTTATTTCTATCCTGTGGGTACATGTTTGTCTTTGTTCCTTGTGTCGTTAAGTGAAATGAAGTGTGCTTTTACATCGCACTGCATCCCCATTCATACGTTCCCCCCGCTTGCCTAAACAAACCGAGCCAGGCGATAGCGTGACAGAATGCAAATTTTCTGCCTTTTAACAGCCACCTTGTGCTCTTTAGATGCAATTTTAAAGAATTTCCAGATTAGCCTCGACATAGATATCCTTTTTCAGAAGACAGGATTCACAGCACCTAAGTGAAACAGAATTCAATGGTTTTCGAGGACTTTTAAGGACATGAAATAACACTTGAATTCGCAGAAAATGACAATACCACTTTTTACAACATAAAAATTCGTACTTTTTTTATTTGTATGGTTGGCACTATGAACGCACTCAAGTTACCATGAACTGTAGCCGCTTTTGTGTTCTCAATGTATTTCGTACTCTTCATATGACTTTTAAGAGCAGACAGCCCCATTGATGACATGTCGATGCTCTTCCTACAAGGGAAGACTTCGCCTTGTGAGGGTTTAACGTATTAGGCGTAATCCACTCGCTATAAGCAGCAATACATGACCAAGACGGCTGGAATTTGCACTTGCACGGCATAGTTCCACCATAGGCCACGCGACTGTGGATATCCATGCACACTTGCAGTCTCCACAAAAAAGCCAGGCTTAGCTCCGTTGCTGCTGTAACCATGCAAACGCTATCACAACTATAATGCACTAGAAGAGTACACTGTACAACAACACAACACCATGGCTAGAGAAATGGACTGAATTGGATGGTTTATTGGCTTGAGAGCACATAGTTGCCAGGCAAGCAAAAAAAAATTCACTAAATTATGCCTTAAAGAACTTTATTGACAAAATTCCAGAACTTTTAAGGACCTCAAACAAATTTAAGTTTTCAAGGCCTTGAAAATGCCATTTCGAAATTTAAGGGTTTTCAAGGATCGCTACAAACTCCGAGAACAGCAGAGGTACCAATCTCAACAACACAGGTGAAAACGAGAAAATAATTTTTTAGATAGACAACTCTCGTTTCTCAACCCGCATCTCCCCTTAATGTATAAAGTGGCCTTGCAACACTTTTCGAGCATAATCAGCTCAACAAATGATACTACATACTCAACAGTGGGTCGCAGGCCACTAACACGCAATTGGTCAATTTGAGCATAGTGCACTCTGAAGTTGCTGGGGCCCCCACCAGAGGCCGCGAGCTGTCCGCGCGTGGTTGCACTAAAAAGCTGCGCACTTAAAAATACATATAAAAAAAGAAAAATGCTTAAGGTCAAGAGATACACATGATGTATTTTCTTACCCCATTCCATCTCTCTCTACTTAGCTTCCAGCATTTTCGTCAGGACGAGAGAAAGCAATTGCAGCGGGGGACAACTCTGCGATTTCACTTGTACCGGACGGATTCTAAAAATTTTTGCAGCGGTGAATCTGTGAAGTGATATAGGCTCTTATGGTGGGTTCATGCCATGGCTACTTGCAAATTTGGTGAAACAGTATTTTGTTTGAACAGTTTTGCTTGAACATACCAAATGGCCTCCTCAAGTATAACAGTGAGCAGCCTGCTTTGTAGAATGTATAAAGAGCGAGCATATGGCCAGCTTGATGCTGAAAGCAATTGTAGGCTATAGAGCTTATAAAAGCTTATTTTGCAAAGCTATTTGCGAGCTTAATCAGCTGTGAGCAAAGCCTAAGTGTGGATACCAAGCTGCGGCACAGTTTCAATACCATTTTGACATGCACAGAACAGTCGAGGGCAATAGCTGCGTATATTTCGTCTGTTTTGACCCATTAGAAAACCCACATCCCCAAGTGCGCACAAGCAATATTGAAGTTCTTTTGATGGGTTCCATGTTGGCATCGTATAGAAGAAAGTTTGTTTCATGCAGAAATGGTGCAGGTGTTCATGATACGTTATACTGGCTTCTGTTTAAGTGACATATGCACACCATTAATTAGTAAGCATGTTCCCAGTTCCCACGTTGCACACAGCACGAGAAGCGAAATGGCACACGTGGGTGCTACAGTTACTCCACACTATGTATTTATTCATTAGACAAGAAATCAAAAGTGCTTGTTTCACTGGCTGCGTGCCTTGTGCAGCCTTTCGGCAACATTTTCCCAGTTGGCAATGTCCCAGATGGCCTTGACGTAGTCTGGTCGCACATTCTTGTACTGCAGGTAGTACGCATGCTCCCAGACGTCAATGGTGAACAAGGGCACCAGCCCTGCAATGAAAAAGTGACGTGCCAAAAGCCTTTTCACTGACGCTTCAATGACCCTCAAACTTCATGATGATTATAAAAACTGTAGCAGTATCAGTCTAATATTGCACCAATTTATCAAGGAAACACAAAAACGTTTTAAATCTATTGCAGCAAATGATCAGTTTCACCACAAGGGCAAATCAATAAATCTGATTGCAACAAATTGTAAAAATTTATCAAGTAAGGCCAACTTTGCTGGATTCTATGTCGTGTACAAAATACTGGTGTAAGAGAATACGGCTGGTCCAGGAAGAAATGCGATTCTTGTTTTTCATGCTGAGAGTTCAACACCCAGAAGGGTATATGAGCTCTGTGATGATGCCTGCCTAGATAGCGTTCGCACCAGCAATCGTACCCTTCCGATCAAAGTTCACAGTTGCTGCTCAAGTGTTCCCCAACTCCCCCATGTTCCTTTATGCTCCTTAAAGACTCGTGGGATGTTTCCTTTCATCTTGAGTAACAATGTTATTACATGCGCCCTCCCTGCTACAGAGGTGCGTTAGCTCATTTCATCTCTGCTTCAGCTGTGTCCATTGCCCTCCCTCATGTGCTTTTATTTTACCTGTGGTAGGACATATGATGCAAAGTGGGATGTCAGAAATTGGGGTTTTATAAGGAATATGGTGGCGACAGCCATGACAAAAGCAATATGGACAGGAAAAACTCTTTGACAGTGTGCATATAGTTGTTATCGCGATAAAAATAAAGCCTGTTCGCCTTCCTGAAAAACAGCAAAGACTTTGCCATTTTTGGTAGAGGAGCAGTGTAGCTAGGAGTGTGCGATGCCATGCTAACACAGCTCAGCCTCCCAACCATAGCAGCAGAGAATATGAATGACAAAGACAAGATCGTAAGGTGAGCACTTTTTCTCCTGCTTCTTTCTACTGTTCACTGCTATTACTAACCAATTATGCAGTTGTTAACAGCATAATTTAACCCATTTTCTCGTTACCATGGCAGCTCCATGGCAACTGCAGAGCTGCGACGCTTGTGCAATTATTGCACATTTTAAAACACCTAGCGTGCAATGGTGAAGATTGCCCGTTATTCCAGAGTGCAGTTAGAACAAAATGGACACGTAAATTGCAGTGTTCATTCTCTCCTTACAAAATGCCAATTTGCCAACTGGACAAAACTAGATTTGTGAATTTATTCATCCATTACACATTCATTAAACTGTAATTGTTGTAGAAAAATTTAACAGAGCATAAATACAGATTGCAGAAAAATCTTGAAGTGAATGTGAGAGAGAATTAACACTGCCATGAAAATCAACATCATTTGAACAGCTCGAAATGTCCCATCTCCACTTAAACATACAACAAAGACCTACATTTGCTCCAGAACATTGTAACTTAAGGGGTGACGTGGCAATGAAAATTATCTTTGCTATTTATCAAGCCAAAGGGATGAAATTCGGCTTGATAAATAGCAAAGATGTCACGCAGATGTCATTTGTTATGCTAATGTCATAACCGAAATCGGTCTTGAGATATATAATATAACTTTTTAATTACAACACTTGACAGAATTGCATTGTTGCCAAATTAAGTAGCTAATTAGACACAAATTCGTAAAAATTTTTGCATAAGGGTATTCACAAGGGTTGATTTTATGCCATAATGCTATAGGTTTATTCTTAATATTTAAGTAAGCACACAAAATCCTTTTGAAATGTTCTGGACATATTGTTTTATTAACAGCTTTTACAAAAAGCTCATTACAAAAGTCTGTATGATGTGCACACAAATATGAACAGCTTTACGGAACTCACCAATGTCTGAGCAGGAAACGAAATGGCTATAGCTTAATTTGTTGCGAAATGGTGCTGAGATGACTTACAGCAACTGTTCAAAAAATGAAAGCTGAGAAAATGGAGCTCAAAGAAATTGGAGCTAGAAGCTGATAAAACGGAATTCGGAAGGAAGCTGGCTTTATTTTTCATTGGAGAAATGCATCTTTGCAGCTTTCTTGAGCTCCAATCAGTCTTCTTTATGATGATGCCAATATGGTGGCACTGTGATAAAGGAAAGCTTCAAATTTGCATTTTGCTATGCCCCATTTTCATGTAGCTTTTGATGACAGCCCACCAGTAAAATTCTTGTTTCTCAACTTCTACTACTTATTTTGGCCTAAAATCACACTATGATGTAAAACATCATCTCAAAATTATAGAAAAAAAGCAATTGAAAAACTGAACATGTTGACTAAATTTACAATTCCCATGGCCATGTCCCCCCTGAAAAAAATAATACATCAACTCATACAATTAGGAGTGTGCCTTTCATTTCGATCCCTTTCATAGAGTAACCCCCAATATGTTTTTAAATACCTAGTTTACACAACAAGCAACACTGAATGAAGGCGACATATTTCAAAAGTGAATGATCAAATCTAATCACAAGCAATCTTACGCTCGTCCTTATTTGCTCATACACAGGGTGTTTTCATAAATATTTCAGAAAGTTCTTAGAATAAGGGAACTGACATTTGCTAGCAAACTTTAGCATTATCCTTGCAAGATGGCAGACACCTTAAAATGACTAGACACTTGAATGATTACTGTAGCAGAAATTAAAATCTTATTAAACAAGAGGAATTGCAGAGTCAATTAAAGAAATCCAAGTTCTGCCTATCAAGAGCACACTACCTTCAAGATTTCCAAAAAGCGACCAGTGGTATTTTTGTGAAGTGACGACGAGAGACTAATTTTGCAGGCAAAGCCAAAACTGAAACGGCGAACAGTGCAACTGTCACTCACTTCTAAAATGCTCAGAATGAATCCACGCTGTTATTCAACCATCGATCTACTAAGCTTAATGCAAGTGCAATGCCCCATACAGCATGCATTTCACACAGAGGCTGAAAATCCAGAACACTATCTCAACCGTTGTCAGAAACAGTTTCATAATTTTGGTTCTCTGCTAGTGCCTTTGCTTCATTTTTTTTGTCAACTCAGTCAAATTTCATAATGCCAAAAAGCTTCCCACATGCTACGAGAGAAACAGTAGTGGAGGACTCTTTATACTATAGACTAGATGAAGTTCGCCCAACACGAGGGCCTCTAGCATGCCATATCTATCGGAATATGATCCCCACAGCTGGAATAGAATAGACGTCTTTTGGGTCAGCAGCTGATCACTGTAACCACTGAGCAACTTTAGCACCCCCCGCATAATTGTGACAAGGTAGCAGCATCTGTACAAAGCAGCAATAGGTTAATGGCACTTATGTAGTAGGGACAAACAGTATGCATCAATGTCTTGAAGACACTAACCTTCTGTGTCAATAAGAGAGTCCTGATTAAAGGTGTTGGCCACTTGTAGCCTCTGCGTCTTGGGGTTGTAGCCAAGCCAGGCCCAGCCAGAGCCCTGCACTCCGACTGCGCGAGCTGACATTATGGACTTGAGGGACTCGAAGCTCCCGAAGTCCTTTTTGATTGCCTCCAGCAGGTCACCTGCACATACGTTCAGGCTCATGTTCAGTAGCAACAATGAATTGCCAGGAAACGTGGCAGGCTGCACACAACCTCCCTGAAAGAATAAGTGAATAATTTCATTTACACAAAAACCGCAGTGCCTTAGAGTCACAATCAACCTTCAAAGAAGAAGACAGAAAGGAACATTAACAGAACACGGTAGCCCTATGCACAGTTTGGAAGATTTATTGGCACGGTTGGTGCATAACACCAAACTGATCTGTGGAAGAAAAACCGGTATTACGGTAGTTTTGAGATAGGTATATTGTGCAAAATTCATTTTTATTTACTTATTTATTTCTAATACACCAAAGCCCCTAAAGGAAGGGGCATATCTACAAAAGCAGTTGCCTTGGTGGGAAGGTCATTCCAGTCCCATGATGTCTGGTTGAAGAATGAGGAGACATGGGAGGCAAGATGATCATAATGTATCCCAGAAGTGCATTTTGTCGGGCTAGTTGGTCAAACATAATAAAAGGTAAAAAAAGTCGCAGCATATCCACAAAGTGAATGATGATTGGTGGAGTGAAGCGTTTGTCAGTCCATTCGTGCTTTCGTTCGTCCATTCGTTCTTCCTTCCGTCCGTTCGTGTGTTCGTCCATTTTTTGTGACGGTCAGTGCATCCATCTGTTCATGCGTTCATCCGTCTGTCTGTCCGTTCGCCCATGCATCCATCAGTCCATCTAGTGAACATTCCAAGTACCGCCATCTGACATCTTTTCATCATGTATTCATCATGTACAAGTACCACCATACAGTGGACATTCCAAGGATCGCTCTCTCAGGTATGTGCCACCGGTGGTTACAAACGATAACAGGAAACAAACAGGTGACGCTGTAAGGAGCTTTGCCCCTAAAACAGTGCCTAGAGGAGATGAACGAAATGCAGTCAATCCCAGGTAGACTGACTGTGCCGAATTATTTGCTATATAAAACAGTTAATAAATTCCCTTGAATTTCTCATGCAAAAGCATCGGAATGTTGCAGATGCATATCGAACTCCCGCAGAGCGTAACATCCGATATATCTAACGCTGCATTGGGCCGTGGCCCAGAAAGTGCATTTATTCTGAGCAAGATCGCTAATTTTTCAGCCCTGTTCTATCAATTCGATCCCTCATTGCACGCAGGTGACTATGAGGCGGTGTAATTTGTTGGTTGCACAGCGTTTGTGAGTGCACCAGCATGAGATGCACGATTTGTTAAAGGTTGTAACGCATGGACACTGTTTCCAAAGGAGCCAATTGCCAAGGGCACCAAAATCACATGAATACGAAGTGACTTGGCGGCCTCGTCGTGATGTGTGCATTTCCTTGTTTGCTCAGGCATGATGGCATGCGGGTACAAAAAGCATGGCCTTCAAAATTCGCAATGTAGTTAAGTATTTTTGACATTTTTTGCCATAAGATACATATCTCCGAAGCTGCGCTTCTTGCTTTCTGCTACAAAGCCCCAATTGTCATCACCATCGCTGAGATATCAATGTTGGGGTCAGAGAGTAGAAAATTTATACCTAATAAATAAGTTGCTAGCAGTTGGACCTTCTAGTCCGGACGAGCATTGGCTCCTGCCATTTCGTTTATTGTTTGTGAACAGCATTGTCAATTTCGGCTTGTGCACTTCAGTAGGTCTCGTTTCATTACGAGTGGAATCTTCCACCGGGAGCCAAACTAAACATTGCATCACTCATAGTGATAAAAATAATGACTGCAGCTGCTTGGAACGACGTCAAGCAAGTAATTTTCGTGCAGTTCCCTCCCGGGCTTCGGTGACAGGCGACAACTTAATGCGTCAACTTAGCCAACAACTCCTTTATTTCATTCAATGCCAGTGCGAACACGCCCTTCTCAAAGGGAGCTGTCGGTCCGGTCCGCCTTAGTTTTCAGGGAGTGGCCGTGATGCGGCTCTACATGAGGAATAGCGCTGCTTGCGTCAGACATGCTTCCAAGCACTTTCCTCCGGAGATGCGATAAAAGTGTTTCCCTCTCCAATGTCATACGTCCGTCAGTTTTCTTCCTTCGTGCTCCTGTTTTGTGGCTTGAAGCAATGCTGCCGCCACATCACAGCGCAGTGCATGTAGTAGCATTGCGGTGATGCTTCCCCATCGGTTACCCGCATAGTGCCATGAACAGCGACACGCTATCTCGAAAACCCCGTATCGTTTACAGAGCCAGCGTGACTGCCAACATTGTGAACACAAAGAATTCAAAACACCGCCTGACGGATCAGTACACAACTGCACAAAAAATTACTTGATATGACATCCGTTGTGAGGCACTTCATGACGGGTTCTCTCCCACATGACCACAAAGCACTTGCGAATGCTAGGCCATGGGTGAGAGCAGGAAAGGGCTAGAGGTGAGGGCGGTGAATAGCTGGATCGCGCCAGAGTCCAATTTTACTGGTCACGAAACTGCTCCGTAACTCAATGGGAGAGCTTCATATGATGCGTTGGGTTGCCGCGCGGTGGCGCCACCATCTCACTGAGGGGATTCGTCGGGCTGGTCGGGCGGCGTTGCGCTGGCTCGAACGACGCTGCGAGTTGTTTGCTTTGTGTGGGAAACGTGCATATCGCGCTGTTGTGATGCGGCGTTAGTGCAGCGACGATGCCGAACACGTGTTGTGTCCTGGGATGTCGTTCCGGGTACAAGGGCAGAACAGAAAAAGTTTCCTTGTTCTGTTTACCCAGCGACGGCATGCTGCGCGAGAAATGGAAGCGCTTAATTCCAAGGCAAGAAACGGGTGACTTTTGCTTCGACTCTAAGTATGTGAGAGTGTGCGAGAAGCATTTCGATGACAGTGACATCGTCCGCGCAGATGAATTTGAGGTGAATGGCGAAAAAGTGTCACTTCCGCGCGGCAAGCCCCTTCTGAAGCCTTGTGCCATTGCAAGGAAGTTTGACGGCTTGCCAGCGTATTTGACGAAGCCGAAGCAGCGGTCACGGACCCTGACAAGAAGGTCCCCAGCGAAGCGACGTCGTGAGTCGTCCTCATGTGCCTGTAAAACAGAAGTTCACGCCAAACCAGGCACATCGGGTGCCGCGTCGTGTGATGAAGGTGAGTTTACGTCCTATGTTGTTTTAACTTTCTTGCCCATGCAGTGATTATATCGGTGAAATTTCGCAGGAGTGTGTGAGCTGAAAATGCGCTATTTGAAACGATTTTTGAAATTGTTTTGCAGATCTTGCACTGCCCACAGATCTTGTCGGCGAGGGGCCAACGCGCACTTCAGACTCGGCGTGCCAGACAGATGAATTTACCAGCCCTCTCGCCGAGGTTAAACTGCTGAAGTGCCAACTTCGGGCAACGAAACAACAGCTGACCTTGTGTCAGACGAAATTGGCCAAGATGAGAGTGCAAGCGAGCAAGCACAAAAAACTTGAAGAAAGCCTTCAAAAAATGTCAACCGCACGAAGTTGATCAGTAAAATAGTAGCTGTGTTTCCTTACTTGTTTGCAAACTTTATAACCTTGTGGTCAGGCTCACATGCAAAAAACCTTTCTGGCGTCTTTGTGCTTTCACTTTTAATATTTTCACGAACTATCGCTCAGGATTCATTTTTTTTTGTTTTGTAACCATGCGTGGCCGCTTTCGGTTTTTTATCTGGTGTTTCAACTGAAGCGCCCGTTTGCTTTTTTTTTTGTACGTCGCGTCGGGCAATATTGTTGATATGGAAAGGTTGTCACCTTGTCACTAACTTGATTTCTTGTTTGCTCGAAACTATTCTCGGCCCTATTTTCATGGATCGAAAATGAATGACGTCCCGAGAGCAACTCATGCATAGCAAATGCCGCGTGACTCACTTTATCGATGTCTTCTGTGCAGGCCACGCTGCGGACTGCTTCTTTGACGTTTGCGTTTCCTTCTAGTCTTCTGCAGAGGATGAGTTCGCTTTAATAAACTTCATTCAGTAGAACTTTACGTTTGTCTTTGTTGCGTGGCAATATTCTGTTTCGTCTGTGTGCTACACATCAAAGCGCAAACAATAAATTTTTTTTACGCTGCACCACGCTTTTTTGTCTCCCTTCATAATATTGAAATTTATTTTTGTAGCATGTGATAAAAGTTTGCGCTTCCTTTTTTGCAAGGATTGAAAAGCGGGTTCGCGGAAAGACACACAGTGCAACATACATCATTTCGTGTTTTGATCCTTTCCCTTTATGCAGGGCTTTTAAATGTGACTGTACCCCCTCATCGAAAATAGAATATTACTGGGGTATCTGGGTGCTCAGTGCATTCCAGAGCACTCAACATATTCATTAAAAGCCTACTCTGAAGGACGCGTACCTGCTTCTTTTAAGTTTTTTTTTTCGTTGCATTATTGATAGGCCCGCAGCAGTCCGCAGCTACGGAGCTACCGTATGTATTGTGGTTACAAAGTTTTCTTGAAGGAAACAGACAAAAGATATTTTAAAATCGGTAAACACGGCGCAGCGCTTGCGCCCAAAGACGCGAAAGCAGTTGCCGTTCGTGGCCGAGGTCTGTGGTGATTTATTCGAAAAAATAAAACCCCATTGAAGGCAGGTGGTATACACAATAATTGGGCGATTCATCGCTAACAACTACGAAAAGAAAAAAAGAAACCCAGCGCGCAGAGACCAGAAGCAGCGAGCGTTTTCATGCCAAAAGCTGGCAAATATGCCGCACGCGCGGCGGCTGGATCCCCTCAGTGCGACGGTGGTGCCAGTAGTGGCGCCGGCGGACCCTATATGAAACTAGCGCCGAAGTTTCGTGACCAGTAAAGCATTGAAGGACTCTGATCGCGCGCATCTGGCTGCATTGATAAAATAGAGCAGGTGTTGTCTTAGCTGACAGCAGCATATGGTGCCTCAATAAATTTAGCTACTATTAGCATTTCTAGGCGCCCCCTCGGATCGGAGTACAGAAAGTGACTTCACCAGTACTGATGACGACGTCGCTGTTTCTTACTGCATCTTGCTGCGAAAGTAGACCCATGCGGTTATGAAGATGCTGACAGCG